TGAAAGGTCAAACAGAAAACCTCCCTAAAAATATGATCATGTACCATTGCTCCAAGGCTATAATTATTAAATTATTGAATATTTTTTTGCTTCTCTTGACATTTTTTTTTAGTTATTGTTATCAAAACACAGCGCAGAATAGATATGAGTATGACTTACGTAGCCCTTTAATGCTCAATGTTCATTCAAATGTGTGGTAAAAACGTAATGCAGGATTTAAAATCCAAAAAAAAGGATCCAAATGTTTGATATGTTTTCTCATAAAGTAATGAAGTGCATCGAATTGTCGAAATATACTCACCGAGATGTGCTGACAAATTTTAGGACCAAATAAAATGTATTAAAAAAAAACAACAAAAACAACAACAACAAAAAAAAACCTAAATCATCTATACCGTTTAAGGATGTACTAAAAATGGCATTAAAAAAAATCTTCCTCTTCCTGTTTGCAGAACCAATAGACTTCAATCCCCATGCACCAGCACAAGTCCCCACATTGTTGAGATGCACTTTCCCCTCTCAAATGTGGTCCAAAGGATTCTTGCGAAGGAATCCAAAGGCCAGATGTAGTGAGCGTGTCGGGTGGAAGAGAACTCGAGGCACTCAGAGCTCCTTTTGTTTGCCCCCACCCAAGTCCTCCTGAAACCCCAGCAGGTGTGATTGCAGGTTTGTTTTCGCCATAGATGGGAAGACACTGAGCAACATAAAGGGGGTTGGGGAGAGGGAGCAGCCAATGCTCAACTACTTTTGACTAATTAAACAAAGTGAATTAGACTATCTCCCCAGCCAGAACGAGTCACGGCTGGTTACACATCACTCATCGTGACTAATTCAGTGAGAGAGACGTCAGTCAGCAGCCCCTGCCAGCGTGCGCGCGCGCGCGTGCGCCTGTGTTTGGGGCCTGCGTCTTCCCACGTGCGCCACCTCGAGGTGCGCTGCCGACAAAGTTCGGCTCGTTCTAAAGTTATCTTCCCGCTGCTCTGTGTCTGTCTCCGTCACCACCGCGATCTTTATGTGATCGAATTGCGCTCCCTCCCCGTCACACTCAGCTCTGCTATTTTATCGCTGGCTCGACGCAGCGTTGATGAGGCTGGCATGCCAAATGATAATTAAGACCATTACACGCTCACAGAGCATGCTACGAGCGCGGCGCACGGCTCCCTAGATTGGAGCTCTGTCTCGGGGGACACCCCGCTACTTACACAGCCGTGCATCACCACCGCCAACCCCCCCAAATTAGGTTAGATTTTCATTCCGCCTCATTCGCCTCGGATGTGATGCGGTTATTACAAACTCATGATATGGTTAGTGAGCCTGCTGCTGTTAGATGGGTGGAGGGATCGTGTTGGGCGCGGATTTACGTCTGCATTCCGCCTTTCGACCTTTTCGCTCTCGTTCGATCGCGTGTGTTTCTCGCACGCGGATGCTTCAGATCTGTTTCGCGTGCTGCGGCGCAAAGAGCGCGCGAGTACGAAGCTGGCAGGTTGGACGCGTGCGTGGAGAGACTCGTCGCTCGCTGCTCGTTCCCTGAAAACTCCAGAACGCCGCCTCTCCAAAACATTGTTTTCTGAAAACAAGGAACCGGAACTTTTTTTATATGACAGTTTCACCTACTAACACTACAGCCTGTGGATGATGTAGCAAAAGAGGGTTGTGGTGATCCTAGGACTGTAAAATGTTATGCTTGCAGCGTTTTTGTGAACAGGCCTGAGGTGCAGCCCTGCCTTGACACCACCTGAAAGAGCAGAAGTGTTTGACCCTAAGCATCAAGCATTAAGTGACCTCTCGATGCTTAAAGCAACAAGTGACTCACTGAAATCATTCCCCCCTGCAAACAGTAAAAGATGAAAGAGTATGAAAATCACTCCAAATGTTTCGAAACTGGAAAGTCGAACCTGTGATTTCAGAAAGGTTATTAGCTTTGGGAAGACCGCTGAACGTAGGATTCGCCCATCTAGAGAAAGTAAGTAAAAAGAAATCCCAATATTGAATTTAGCTCACTGCCTCTACAGCAAAGACAGCCCTGTAAGTCAGCGCAAGTGGGCTTTTTGCACGTAGCCTCAAATATACTTTGGCTGAAAACTGAAGGAACCCCAGAGACAAATTGGAGCAAGCACACTCTAAAATATGCAGCTTTCATAAAGTTTCTGTCTAGGCAACAGAAACTTAACTTTGATTCAACTTCCCCTTCAGTCTTGAACCTAATAATGGCACACATGTACAGATGAAGCGTTTTGGAACAGTGATCAGGATTAAATGATGCATTAGCTATTTATTTAGTCAGGTGAAACATCCCTGTCTGTTGGCTGTCAGTTTTAATCTTATTAGCCGCCACGTTCATGGAAGTAACTCAGTGGTGCTTAGCTACTTCTCGGTGCCTCGCCTCGGGGGCGTGAGTCACAGATTTCTAACTGCGCATCCCGAATGGGTTTGTTTGAATGTTTGTGAGCTCGTCTGAAGTCGCTCAGCGGATGTTTGCTTTGCTGCGGTGAGCCTCGGAGCGCCTGATGACTAAACTTTGACATCACCGCAGGTGCAGCCTCTTTGTTTTGTGGAGGATTTGAGTAGGAGTCACAGAGCCTGACTGATAGCATTTGGTGTCGCTGATCTAGAATGGAGGCGGGGTTTTTTTCCCCCCATTTCCACAGCATAGGTGAATGGTCTGTTGCATGAAGCCGTGACGCTTCTCAATATTTGCTGAATCTTTTACTCAGTTTGTTTTATTAGGCAGAGATATCCTATAAAAACTCGTAACCATGATTTTTGGTGGTCCGAATGTGTCTACATTATAAATTTCAATTTTCTCAGTGACATTGTGAACAATTATTTTTCTTTTTCTTCACGGCAGAACATTGTTTTGATCAGAACTGTTGTGTGAATTAAAAACAAAATATCTGAGGTTGTAAGGGTCAAGTCGAGGCTTATCGATACTTGTTCCAGCATTGCACATGTGTTTCTGCGAGAGACGTTAGATGACATCTCTGTTGTTTCGGAAGAAACGCAGAATTTGGAATTATTTTAAGATCAATAGTAAATGCTCCCACATATAAACGCCAACAGTGATGACCCTGGAGATTTTGCAAGAGCAATGAGGTCAATTGAGTTTCTGTTGGGTTTATTTTGTTCCCCAACCTGCATCAACCAAAGACACAAATTACTTTTCCGCAGAAAAGGGGAGAAGAGCCCGACATGCTGCCAAACGCTGTCTGAGATCAACCCCGTCGGCTCTCAGTCCCCAACTGCCTTTTATTATTATGTGACTACACAAGGAAGTTGGCTTTTTCACACATTCATGACAACAATTGACCAATGCACTATCCCACAGGATGTTCTGGAATTAGGACACAAGGATGACCACTCTCAGGGTACAGATAAAGATCAATGTGGCTCGTAACACAGAAATGTGTGAGACATCTCCAAGCCTCAAGAGAAAACCCTAACAGACAGTTAAAAATATAGCATAAAAGAAAAGGAAAGAAAACAACACAGAGAATGACATGAAAACATAACCATTCAAATAAAAGCAAATGAACTAAGATGATAATTTTCCTAACAGTTTCCTTCATCTGAAAAAGAAGTGCAAGTGAACCCTGGTCAAGGTCACAACCACACACACAAGTGAAATGTGTTGTAAAAATTAGCTCCCAGAAATAGTCAAACATTTCAGATTTACATAAATAGCTGAAATTATTAAAACATGAATTATATTATTTCCCCAGGCTGTTTTTTATTATAAATGAATTAATGTATGAATTGTCATTCAAATGTTTGAATTGTCATTCATAATTGACAGTTTCATTCAGTCGTGTCTTCAGACATGTCTTTCCATGTCTTCAGTGATTCAAACCGTTTCATTGTCATGTCAAGATTTCTACATGGGATTAAAATCTGTTCCGGGAGATGCTGCTCCCTCTGCTAGAAACATTTATTATTATCAAACCAAGATCTAAAGAGCCTTCTAACATCTTTACTCAAAAGGCTTCAGAGGGCTAAGAGTCTGTAATTGGATTTAAGTTTATCTCCTTTAAGAAAAAAAAAAAACAACATTTCAGGATAAACAATATGACCTGGAACAGACTGTCAATTCATTCAGGGTTGTTCCTGTGTGACAGAACAGAAACAAGTTAATTTGTTCAGAAATAGGTGTTTCTATTCTGAACATGTGTTCAAAGAACCGTCTCTGCAGCCAGTTGCTCACACGGGGGCGCCATTGTGCAGCCATCATTTTTGAACCGAGCCTTTCTCGAGAAGCATGAGCTCCACGCGCAGCGTTTACACCTCTGACCAGCAGGTGGCGATGAAAACTCAGGGAATCCCGATGAGCACCGGGAGCGATGACGCAATTCTGCGAGTATAGTTTACGTAAACGTTTCCAAAGTCTTTCAAAGTCTACGTAAGTGTGAGTTTACGTTCTAACGTGTAACAGCGACATTTGGCAAAACATTTAGTGTTTAAATAGTCGATGTGTTTTTATGACGTAAATCACTTTGCACTGCCTTCTTATTCTCATAAACTTGTGATGCATCTTATTCACTCTCTCTTTTTCCCTTGCCGTGTAAACAAAGCCCACCACAGCCCTGTTTTTAAACGTGTTTATGCCTATATTCACGCACCGTGAACGTTGGCAACTTTACTCGCACCCGTCCTGGCGGAGCAGGAACTGGTCACGCAATTATCGCGCCGACGGCAGAAAAGTTTCAGTCTTGCCTCCGTCGCCTCTGGCCACGAGGTGATATCTGCAGCCGCAAATCGCCTAACTTCCTGCTTCCTCCCTCGTCACCACAGGCAGCCGTGAAACGGCCGCGCGCGTGACGTGCACCTTTCTCTGCCCCAGCCGGGTGCTCGCGGTAGCGCTGAGTGGACCGGATCCCTCGCCCGCCTGCCGGTTCGGCAGAACCTTCAATGAGAGCGCCTCGCGCATTCGCACGACTCTCTCTCTCTCTCTCTCTCTCTCTCTCTCTCTCTCTCTCTCTCTCTCTCTCTCTCTTCGGTAACTTTGATGGGGACCTCGACATTAGGCTGGGAAAATGCCTGTGATGAAGGGATTATTAGCGCCGCAGAACACGTTTCTGGACACCATAGCCACGCGGTTTGATGGCACTCGTGAGTTTGACCTGAACTATCTGTCTTTATCTTTGATGTGTGTTTGCTGGCCCGCTCGCGAGAAGCTCGGCAAAAGCAGCGCTTGTTCCGTGGTCGCTCAAATAGGCTCAGAGTAGCAAATAAAATAACAATAATAATGTTTGCTGGGAAAAGACAAAATATCTTTTGTCTTCAGTTCAGTGTAAATGTTGGATCCAAATGTTTGCTTACTTCATCTCATTATAGGCCAAGAGATGGGAGAAGGAGGCAGAGATGTGTCTGTTGAGTCTGGAGAGGTTTCAGCACCTCGGACAGCGGCGATCAGGGTTTAAACTGGGTTCTGCCTCAAGTCTCACTGGGTTTCCTTAAAAGTTTAAGCTGAATTGCATTTACTTGACCCGTTGGTTTTGCCTGTCATGGCCGGTTTTAAGGCAGAGAACAAAGTTTGCCACTCCACAACAAGAAAATACAAGCAGTTTTCCTTCTTTGCTCTAAACTCTGGGGGGGGTTTCGTCTAAGAGTCGTTAGGTCTCTTACATAAAAAAGTAGAAAAGAAAAAATCTTCTTCGTGTTTGTGTTCTTGTAATTCAAGAACATGCTGTTAGCCTGGGTTAAAGTTTAAAAGTGTGTTTGTTTATATTTCAAACTTTGGTGTCAGAAATAAATGGGAAACGTTTGTGAAACATGGTGAACTGTTTTACATGCAGCAATGATGCAACCATTATTTCCTCTTTTTTTCCCTTGAATTTATGCAATTGACTGATAAACACTTTGTGGTTGTGAATCATCTTACTGTGTCTATCTCAACTTTCATCCTGCGTAGCAAAATGAGCCGCTTTCTGAACGAGGAACAGATATGGACAGCTATTTTTATGTCTTTTCAAAGATCTTCAGTTGGACAATGGAACTGACTTTGACTGGGCCATTCTAACACTTGAATCGATCAATTTGAACTTCCACATTAGTTCAATGTCTCTGGGCTCCTTTGGGTTTGGGCAGAGTGCTACACTGCTGGATAGGACATGTAAAAAAAACACACAAAAATATTAAGTTGTAGCTCCAGGATGACTTTTTTATAGCAAATTAAAACTTCTAGGCATCAGCTTTCATGACCCTGCTGAGTAAAAGCATCCTCACAGCATGATGCTATGACTCCCTTGCTTTACCATGGGGATGGTTTGTTCTGTGTGATGTGCAGGTCCAGTTTTTCCACTACACATTCTGGTTTACATGTAGGTCAAAAAGTTCCACTTTGGTCTTATTTCACCCGCACTCGTGTCTACAATGTGAGACTTTGGGGGGAAAAAACCTGTTTGTGGTTACACTTCTCTTATTCTTCTTGCCACTTTTCCATAAAGCCAGTTTTTGTGCGGTGAGAAACTGTTGACAGATTCTCACGTCTGAGGTGTGGTGTTCGTGGCTCTTCCAGGGTTGCAGCAGCAGCTCTCTTCTCTTATCTTGCTCTGTCAATTTTCAGGCGACGCATTTTACCTTGATGAGTAATTTAAAGCTTGCAATGTCATTTTATGACCCAATCTTGCCACGTTTACCCTGAGAATAGTTACATGCATGGGGCACTCTACTTTCAAATCAAATGACCATTAAAGGTTAGTGGCGGCTCTGGAGTTTCTTTAAGGGCATCAGAGTAAATGATACACAGCACTTTTCTGAGTCATCGTTTTATGTATTATTTCTTCTCACCTCACCATTCCATGCAAATTTGCACCATTGCCACATAAAATCCTCGTAAAAGTCTTTGAGGTTTGTGGTTGGGATGTGGAAAAAAAAGTACTCTCACATGTACAAAGATCTTACGTTGTCTGTTTGTTCTTTTATTTAGATTCATAAATATCTATCAGGTGACTTACGGATTTTGTCAAAATACAATAAACGGTTCCCCCATTTTTATTCTTCATGTTCTAAATTGAATCTACCCCAGCCTTTTTTTTTCATAAGACCCTCTTCTACCTGTTCCCTGGGCGGCAGTATCACCTTTTTTTTTAATTAAAATTGTTACATCCATGGTGATAACACTTTTCTCCCACCTGAGCCATTATGCAACCTTCTGAAACATGTTCCTAACACCCAGAGAAGCTTGATAATAATCAGAGATATCCATTGAGATTTGAGACCCTATACCTATTGATCCAGCATCACTGTACAAGTAAGAACAGGCTAGTGTACAGTATGTCTAGCGGGAAACTGAAGAGAAAAAAAAAGCCTCTGCTGCCTGCATGGGCACGAGTTCTGCTCCCACATAAGAGAATTAGAGTGGTTCTGTGCAGCACAAGTAGTTTGTCAAGCTCCAAAGAGTGAGCTACTGTCCTTGAGCTGGTGAGGTGGAGGAAATTAACGCTGGATCTAAAGTGCTAGATGGAGCGGACCTGGAGGCAGCAGAGCCTGACGGTACAAATTGGGTCTGATAGCCTGGTCAAGAGCAAATATTAGTGCCGAACTAAGGTTTTATCACCGTGGGATCCCCCTTCGAGGCCATTCATCGCCCAGATTAGGCTTGGAGAGAGTGATAAATGGCCGAACCTTCGAGCGGGCAGCTCTTTAACAAGATCTCATTTGCACTCAGAGAAAAGGTTTATATGTTTTTACCGGTCGAACTTCAAAGGAGAGTATTTGTTTCCGTGCTTATAGTAGGTTTTACTGCGCTCCTTTTTCATACCTCAGCTAGTTGGTATAACACGAGTTGCCACCTTTGGAACCCAAGTCAACAGATACCATTGAAAGACCATTGAAAGACATATCCACTGTGTTCAGAACACAGTGGATATGTACTTACCTCTATGAATGTGTCCTATATTCAGAAGAGGGATAAGGGAACAATTTTTTATAAAAACACATTTGAAGTTAGCAGAAGTTACTTCAGTTTAAGTTACATAACATTGAGTCCATTTTGCTAATAGTATTACAAATTTAAACGCTGTTGCCGAGGTCAACGCATCTCTGTATATAGATGATTTTCTCTTTACAAATGTGTGGAAACATTGACTAGCTGTGTTCAATGGTGACTGTGTGAGAATGACACCTTCTGTCAACCTTACAACTGTGCAACCATCCAGGTGACTAATGTCCCCACCTGTCCGTCACTGCTACTGTATGGTGTGGGAGTGATGCTTGTTATAGTAAACCGTATGTTGTCGCCTGGCAATTACTGTAGTAATTTGAAGCGTGTCTCCTAATTTACCTGTTTTGCAATACTCTGTGCAACTTTCACATATTTATTTAAACAATGTTTACAGGTTGTGGGTTGTTCAAACTGATGGATTGTCAGCAACTGGCCAATAAGTGGTTGGTATTTGTCCCGAAGTACACGCCCCTTATCTGGAATAACTCAACTTCCGTGGACATTACTAGTTTGGTCACTGCTAACATGCTGTGATCACAAAGACTTTGAGGAAAATAATAGGAAGCCATATTCAAAATGGCTTCCCATTTTGAACATGCAATCCCAGCAGTTGTTATCCAGAACGTGAAGAGGGCGGAATTCAATGAAATCCCTTTAAAACCCAAACGGAGTCTGGAATAACTCAATAAATTGATCAAGGCCCGCAGACAAGCTTGAGCAGCTGAATAATATTGTGATCGTTCGTCTGTAAGGAGCTAACTGGTAACAAACATCCCAGTTTTTGTCATAACGACTCTTATTGACAGTGACATCAAAGATCAATAAGTGCAATTAGCTGTGCTTGATTTTATGTGTGCAAATTCAAATGGGAGATCTATAGCAGCATGAAAACATGTGCTGCATTAAATGTGGTATTTACATGTAAGTGTCTTTTTTAACTTACTCAAAAATGTCTAGCGTTTTATCCACTTCCGCTACCATTACAACACTGTTCAAGTAAACAGGACACTCCTTTACCAGATGAGGTGCTTTTCAAAATCATTGCTGACTTGAATTTTCAGATAACTCATAATGTCCATCATTGGGGGGACGGGACGGGCCAAAGTTAGCTGTGTTCTTGCCAAATTTAGCAGACATTTTAGTGTCTCGGTTCTAACAGAGGGAGTATTTAAAGCCTCCTACTGCGCTGCCTCCTCCCCGTTCTGTTCCTGCCCTTCAGACTGCCATTTTCTAACATTAATACACACTAGTCCCAGTTCCATAAAGACACGAGGGAAAGGAGTTGAGCCAGAAAAAGCAGAAAGAGTGTGTAGCACTTCCTGCTTTCCATATTTATGAGAAGATGTGTGTCTACGTGTGCACTCAGCTGTCTGACAATATTAAAATAGCAAAGCAGTTCTCCTGACTGCCTGATTAACACTTTTATATGCTGACTTTTTTCCAAAGTGGTCTAACACTATACTTACCATTTGCTTTCAAACAGGCATTTTAAGACCCAATTAAGAATGTTACACAATAGAGGAGATTCAAACTACACAGAGTCAAGTGTGGCCAGGGATTTTTTGTTGCCATCAATCCTCTGACCCTCCAGGAAGACAAAGAGAAATAATGACCAAACATGAAAGACCAGGGAGGTGCAAAACCGTTGTCCGTCCAATGAGGTTTACTTCCATAAATAGAGCCCAAACCGAAATGCAGCACCTTACAATTCTTAAATGGGAATTTAAAAGCATTTTGTTAGTCAATAATATGATACGAAGTTGGGATTAGTCCAGTGTGTTGTTGACCCCAGTCAGAGTATGAGTCTGGAAGAAATAATGAGAGTAGTTATGAGACTTTGACGGAATAATCAATCATCATTGACTGCCGCTGCAGGATGCGGGAGGTCTCTCACTCACTGGCAGTGAAGAGCTACAACTGTTCCAATTTTCTCCAAAGCTTAATTAATTCTGGGAAAGTTTTATCTATGATGGAAAAAAATTGAGCAGCTTGGTCTTGGGAGGTTAACCAGCTGCAACATTATAGCAATCTGAGACACTGTTGTACAAATCGTTCATTTCTTTAAAAAAAAAAAAACAAACAAACAAACAAAAAAAACATTCTTTCAATACAGTTTTGGTTTACAAAATATGAACAAAATTTGTACAGAAGTCCTTAATGGTAG